TGTGTTCTTGTTTGGTTTGGTTTTAGTGGGTTTTGGTGGAGGTTTTGTGGACTTTGTTTTGGTTGCTGTTTTGTTTAACTATGCATAGAGTACAGAAAGTTCTGGGGTCAGATAGACACCATCACATATATCCGTGACTGGATAGTTCTCTTCTTGGGTTTATTTCCTATATGTTTGCAGTACAAAAGAATATATTACTTCAGCAGCTGATAAGGCAAAACCTAACTTGCTATGCCCTGCAAACCTCTGCTGCTGAATTCTGTTCATGTAGGCCTTTGGCCAGGTCTCATCATGTTTCTCCACCATAATTAACCATATCAGAGCTAGCATGTAGTAATTCTTTTCCACTGCAGGTATGGTAACATGAATTTCAGCTTGCATACAGCTAGGATCCAAGCCACCTACGAACTAAGAAAAAAAATACATTTTGGTTGATAAAATTGTCTTCAATGGCAAGATTCTTTTTATGCACAATGACTTCAGGTTCCAGTTATATTTCCCTGTGAGGTCACAAGAAAAGGAGTGCTTCTGTCATAGGCATTTTCCTACCTTTCTGCGGCACAGTACAATTGCACAATAAAAAGATATAATATCTATAGTAAAGACACTCTATAAATACTTCTGGATGCTGAACCAAGTAAATTTTCCTGTTCTAATGATGCCCATTGCAGTAATTTGGCATGTATTCCTCCAATATTAATGTTTGGCAGTACAAATTTTATTATTTGTACTTATTGACAGACTGAGAATTGGGGCTGTTCAGTCTGGAGAAGAGAAGGTTCCGAGGTGACCTTATTGTGGCCTTCCAGTATATTAAGGGGCCTACAAGAAAGCTGGGGAGGGACTTTTTTAGGCTATCGAGTAACAACAGGACTAGGGGGAATGGGGCAAAGCTGGCAGTGGGCAGATTCAGGCTGGACATGAGGAAGAAGTTCTTCACCATGAGAGTGGTGAGACCCTGGAATGGGTTGCCCAGGGAGGTGGTTGAGGCCCCATCCTTGGGGGTCTTTAAGGCCAGGCTGGATGAGGCTCTGGGCAGCCTGGTCCAGTGGGAGGTGTCCCTGCTCATGGCAGAGGGGTTGGAACTGGGTGGTCCTTGTGGTCCCTTCCAACCCTGACAGATTCTCATCTGTTTTAGCAGAGGACTTAGTGGTGTTGGCTTAATGCCTGGACTTGATGATCTTAAAGGTCTCTTCCAACCTAAAGGATTCTATGATTCTACCCCATGAGCTTTTTTTCCAAGAAAACAGACAATAATAATAATATTTTCACTAGTTTCTCAGAAGAGCAGTAGCACCTATTTTTTTTCTTCAGTTTACTTGCCTACTGTAGTTTCATTTGGAAAAATAAGACAAGTGATACAGTATTTTTTGTTACTGGTACCGTCTGCTTAGTTCACTTTTGAGACATGTATAGCAGCATGTTATATGGTCTCAGGTATCTGCTTCCACTGTAGAGCTGAAAATTTAGAATTTGTATCAGCATTTAAAGACATCCTTCAAAGTTATGAGGAATCACTAATGTGGGTCTTCTGTATAGATAGCACAGTGTGTCATGAGTCAAATCACTGAATTCTGTTTTACTTAGAACTTTTCCCTCTTCCCCTCAAAGGTTGCATGACAAAATAAATTTAGGGATGAAAACCCTGAAAAGAGGATACAACTCCATAAACTCTTCAGGAAAAGAAATAGCTTCTATAACCATGGGAATGTATCTGAGCCGTACGGCATGCTCTGTTTTTACTATAAATTAATTTGAACATCCCCGGCATTTCATAAAGATGTTTGATGGTAAAGACCCAAGAAATTAATAAGTGACAAATTTAAACTCAACCTAGCACTAGTCACAATTCTCCTATTTCTCTACCATACCCCAAAAACAAATTTTATCTAATGCTACTACAACTTCACCTCTGTTTTGCAATAAGCAGACACTGACATCTGGTGACCAATGGTACACACTACAGCAGCAAAGTAACAGAAAATTTCCTCTCTTAAAATGCAAACTAATGCAGCAGGGAACCAAAACACATAAATCACTCTTATAACCATGCTGTATATTTTTCTTGCACTACAGCAGGAAAAAAAAAAAAAATTCCCCCAAAATGAATGGGGAAGGACCAGTGACTGAAGATTAGAAGACAACTGTAAATTAAATGAGTCTTCCATTGATCTTTTCCTCATGATTTTCTTGCACTCTCATATTACCCTAAATGTGCACCTCTATATTATTTAACTTAAAAGGGCCAAAGAAAAATTATAGGTTACATGCAATATTAAAAAGTATTACAACCTCTGAGGTTTTCTTACCTTCAACTTGGTCATATAGTTTCATCTACTCTCATTAAAAATGTCACGCACCCACACTGCTCCCCATTACCTTGAAATACTCTTTTCTAATTTGTTTACTTCTCCTTCTTTCTTCACTCTGCCAAATTACTGGCTGTGTTTCTGGCCAATGCTGTTCATCCACTGCATCCTTCTGGTTTTCCAGCGGCTACAATGTTCAGAAATATTTTTACATAAAATGTATGTACACCTTTGTACATCAACATTACTATGATCTATAACTATTAATTTTTTCCCTCTCTCATAATCTAGCTTTGTAACATGAAAGCGTTATCAGTCTCAATGGTGATTCTGGTAGAAATCACTTATGTCCTTTCAAAACCTAAAACATACTTCACAGAAGAATAAGAGTCTATGAAATAGTTCTCAAGACAATAACACCCTTTCCTGCATTGAGCCTAATTTTTACAGGTATCTTAGGATGCCACCTAAGACTGCCATAAATAACTAAAAAAAAACAGAAGTGCTGTTAGCCACTGGGATATCCAATTTCTCAGTCTGAATACTCATTGCATAGGTAGAGGATTGCTACAACAGGAGTTTTTATACATGTCAACCAGCTGTAAAAGAAATCTCTTTCAAAGTACCGTATTATGCAAGGTATTCTGAAAAGTCAGCTGAAGTAGTTTTATTCTTAATAAAACCATTAATATGTTTCTGAAAACAGAAAGCAAACAAGCTGAAGGGATTATTTCATAAGGCCCAAATGATATTTCCAACTATTTCTCTGCATTAGAATATCAGGCTATTTAAAGCAATTGTAAACACCTGATGGATTAAAACCTAAAATAATAACAAAAGTACCCTCTAAAGTCACCACTGCAATTTCATCATGTGAGCTTTGCAGTGAGGCATGGGGAATGAAAGGCCTACACAATTCAAACCATTTAAAAATCAGAAAAAGAAAAACAAACATTATGGTGAGGCAGTAAAATTTGTATGTAAATAAATAACTAAAACAAGGAAGCATTACTTATGTCTCAGTTCTTAAAACAGAAGGCTTCTATAATTTGATATACAAGTTAAATTATCTTGAATCATAAACTCTTCAAAGGTTTTGCGTTTTCCTCTACAATTACATACATACAATAAATGTGTGTAAACAACCATATGAAAGTGTAAGTTTTCCTTCAGAAATACAAAACACCAAACCAAAATAATTCAAATAGGACACCATCATATTTACACTTGAATATTTACCTGCCAGGTGTATGGGAACACTGGAGAATTCACTTCATCTGTTGAGACACTAAAAATTAAGATGAGAAGCATTATGAAATTCACTACTTTGTGTACTTTAAAGGCAAGTTACTTAAAAATATCACAAAAAGTGAACACTTGAAAAGCAGCTTCTCTGCCGCACTACAGTATTTTTTGGCTACCCGTATAAGGATGTCACAATGTGGCCAAAAAGTATGATCAATTGACTAAAATCTCGAATCATAATTCACTTTCCTTTCTTTCTGTCTCCATACTACAGTGTTTTATTCAGATAAATCTTTTTCTCAAGAATGTTAAACTTTAGAGATTACTAATGTAGCTTCATTGTTTTGTTTCTGAAAGCAGCCAATGAAACTGTTCAAAGCTGACAAAAGATATATTCTTGAATTTTTGGAAGACTCCCATGCTTCATGTCACTGTTAGCTCTATACAGTAAAGCTGAAGCTTATACTAGAGTAGGGAAGGGAAAAGCATTTTAGGATGGAACAGTAGAACTGCAAAATCTCAAAAATATACTCTTGAACATAGACTGTCTGAGATTATTGAAAGGTCACAGAAAAAAAAACACGTATACATTTGGTGTCATTTCAAATTTTTCTTTCTATATCCTGCTGTGAAATTCACTTCTATCATCTTACCAGCAGCGATTTCATTGTGACAGCTGGCTTAGAAGCTGTGCAGTATACCAAACTGCTAACAGCTGGGTACTGAATGCAAGAAGGACATCACACCATGAGCAATTATAATAAATCCTAAAGGGAAAACTAGACATTTAGCTTCTACTGTTTTGTATTCCTTTTCCTTCTTTTTTCTTTCTGTTTGCCTTGAACGAGTAATGCTATCTTTTAAAGCTCTCAGGCATAGGAAATCCGTTTGAATCATGTCCTATAGCTTGATAAGCTATTCCAGTTGCGAACTGGGAACTGCTGCAATAAATGAGTTTGGGTGTTGATACGCATGTATCTATTAACTATGACTTATTCTATAAGTGTAAATTCTTTAGTGACACGACAGTCTTTGCACCCTCTTCGTATGTTCCTTATGTAGCGTGTGGTCTGGGTTCCTATATATCAGTGCAATAAAACAACTAATAGCCTGCAACTAGTACCTTACATCTTGTGTGAACACCTCAAAATTAAAGGTGAAGGCTGGGTGGTTGGGGGTTTTTTTTGAGGGTGGATATATTTTTTTTGGTTTAGTTTGCTTTAAGAAGACAGCCAAAATAGAAGGTATTACATTGTATTAATTATTAATAATGTATTACATTGTAATATCTATACTGTGACCCTTTTCTTTTTGAGTAAATGCTTTCCTGACGTGTACTTGAACTGCAGAGAGCTGTTAACAGTCCCAATACTCTCTAGTAACACACCACGAGCAGTCATGGCTTTTGTCTCCAAGATTTAGAGCGAAACTAGTGTGTGAACACAAGCAGATACAGATTCTTTTGAAGATAAAGATCTTAGATTATGGAGCTGGCAAAAACCACAAGAGCCAATGTTCGAATGGAGTTCTCATTAGAAGACTGCCCATAAGCTCGCCTTCTTTAGCCTAAAAATGGAAACAGATTATTTCTTGACCAAATTGATTAAGAGAACTGATCTAGAATTCCTTAGGGGAGGGAGGGCTGAAAACTTGCCATGTTCTCTCTCACCCAAGTTGTCAGAAATAGGAAGCTCTGATTTCTCAGTTTTCTAAAGATAAGGCTCTGGGTATTTCTGTTTGTTGCGTTTTTGTTGTTTGTTGGTTTTGCTGCTGTTTTATTGGGCTTTTTTTTAAAATTCAAAGAAAGAGCGTGAAAGTACAGCTCCTGCAAACAATGGATTACTCATTGACACATCCTTGACAAACAGTAAATGTTTTGCAGGCTGAACTTCCACTAACACTTTCCCAACAGATCTTAAGAGCACAAGAAGACTGCCAGGTTGGTAAAATGTAGATGTCTAAACACAGCTACAGTGCTGTTTTACATAACACAAGACCTCACACATCTGCACAGGACTGTTACCTCTGGGAAGCATGACCTGGAGTGGAACCGGATGTCCAAAATGCCACTGAACGCCTATCTTTAGGCACCTGAATTAATGCCACAATCAGACCCACAAATTAGTTTTCTGGATTACACAAACCCTCCTAAAGGTTCAAAAGAACATATTTTTTTATGTGAAAGAAAGAAGCTCAAGAAGATATTATTTGTGTAGCTTCCTTTTCATCTTGAGCTAAAAACATAATGACAGAAGATGGCAGTAGTGACACAGAACATAAAAATTCAATAAAATGTTGAAAGCTGTAATACATTAAATTATATCAATACCATTTTTCAGATTCCATTGGCTGTTTCAGTCTGTTCCTTGCACTTACTGAAACTGAATGATTAAGAAGCCTAGAAAGAAGAAAAAAAATATTTATTCAACAGCTTTGTAGTTACATTTTTCTTAGAATATGTTACTCTCACTGTGTAACATTTCCCATAAATAAAATTTTGAATATTAAGGTGACATTTTCCATAAAACATGTATGAGCATACAAATATGAAAACCAAGCCCAATCCTACTTCCATGTATGTCAATATGTCAACGATATTGTTTCCAGCTCTTGAAATAGCTCAAGTTCTGAGATTTAAGGAAGTAAAACTTGTGACAACTCAAACCAAAATGAAGTCTCCTCTTATTTTTCTCCCTAAATATATATTCTTTCAACTGATCTCACACCTGTGTAAAGTTGTCTGTCCTCAACACCCAAGGCCCCAGTGTTCATTAAAATTAGAAGACAGAAGATAGTCAATCTAAATCAGACAAGAAGTGATACACAGATTGAGCATAAAAAGTCAGGCAGGAGGAGCACATAAGAAGGTAGCTAAGTAAGAAACACTGCAAGTGAAAAAGAAAAATAGGGAAAATGAGAGGTGGAAAATGGGGTAACACAGAACTAAAAGTCTGGTGCAGAAATGAACCAAGGGAAATTCTATTTTTCTAAATGGTAAACAGCCAAAGAAGCCTAAACTTACATACAGATTCAGAAATTAGAAAATTTCATCTGTAAGAAACACACACCACATGTGCACACACAGGAAGAAGATATGAGCCTTTACAGATGTTGAAGTGTTAAAAATAACAAAACAGTCAGTAACACTTTAAATGTTTTCAAGTACCATGTTTAACTAGAATGAGTAATTCTGAATTCCTAGAGGCAGTAATATCACACTTTGACACTGAGTTTATGTGCAGAACTGTGACCAAAGTATATTCATGCTGAATTATATACAGAACTAGACTGTTTCAAGAATCAGAAGAATATCAACTATCCAGTGGAAGAAAAGCAGAATATTAGGCAATTTTTTATTTTTCGTTATCATTACATAGGGCAGTACAAATATTAACTTTAAATGACTGATGTCATTTCAGTCAGACTTCTCTGATTATTGTGATAATTTTGAGCTCAGTAATAATCTCATTTGTAGTTTAAATCTCTCACTGTGTGAACCTCAGTTTGATGACATTATGGGAAGGTAAGCCTGTAAATCAAGACAGTCTGCAGCATCTGCTCCCTGTATTTTGTCTTCAGAAACTTAGCTTTGAGGACTCCAGAATTAAATTATACTATAGCCTGAAAAAGCGTTACAAAAAAACTAACAAAGCATAGGTTATCAGACCATAATAATATTTTAAAATAATGAATGTTTAGAGTAAATTCCCATTTAAATTAGCCTTCTGTCTTCAATTGAAAGCAATGACAAATTTAGAGAGAGTTTGTAGCGAGATGTAACCAATTACAATAATGAGCTTTAAAAAGAGACATTTGAGTCACCTACACATTTTAATGCAACACTAGCACCAAAACTGACACTACCAGTGTAAATTCAATGACTGTATGTAATACAGGTCACTTTTTTTAAACTCATGATATCTAAAGAAAAACTATTCAAGCTAATTCATATACATATGCACTTTTCAACTACACTGTTCCTATGAAACATAGGAACATTTCGAATTAATGTTTGAGTTTATAACAAATGGAATTTATTATCAAACTATATTTTTATATTTTGTGAAGGAAAAAAAAAAACAAAATCATTTTTGAAACTTCCTGTTTAAAGTCTGAAGAATACTGATGAGGCAGTGACAGCAAATTCAGCATCTGTCAGGTTAGCAGTTACTAGTCCAGTCAGAGAAATCTGAATTTCCTGTGGAATAAGGAACTTGAAAGTTTTCAGTTAAAGAAAAATGTGAAGAGAGTTAATCTGAATTTACTAAGTTGCAGACTAATGAATTCATGGTAAGATAATGTGTTCAACTGGAGGGGGGCCGTGATCACTATAGTTGTGCTAAGAACTGTCTGTCAGGAAATACAGTGCAAAACTGTGTATGCAAAATGAAAGTACAAGTAGCTCACATTCAGAAGTCATGCTCCTTTAAGTGTGGTGCTAATGGTGCAAAGATTTCAGCAACTTTTCCATTCACACTATGACTCATTAAATCTAGAAGTTTGGTGGGTTTTTTTATTAGACCAGTTATCAGGCCAATTACTTGCTGATGGTCATACTGAACTGCTAAATAAGAGTTTGCATAAAACATCTGTGTTGGTACTGCAAATGATTTCCTACATACAGTTCCTACTAACCACACTAATTCTGTTGCTACAGAGGTAGCATGCATACAAACTATTACTTTAAAGGATTCTAAATCTTATGCAAACTTTGGACTGTAAATTGCTCAACAACACATATATATATATAAATGTGTTATTTGATAATATTCAAAAAAACAACATTGTGACTCATTTTTCTATTTTTAATCATGCAAGCATAACATCTACTCCAAACTGCCAACTAGATGGAAAGGTGCTGGCAAAATCAAATACAATATTGGAAAATATTTTCTAAAGTTTGAGAATTTAAAAAGTGGAATCTCTTCTCAGTCACTTATATATTTTGTGCAAATATCACTTCATTTGTGCCTCTTAAGCACAATGTTAACAATGGTAATGTTATTTTAAGGTTAGCTGTCTTCAAGTTTGAACAAGCAAACAACTTAGAATCTACAGTGTGTAAACACACTAGAAATCTTTCACAGTGAGACAAAACAAAAATCTATTTCAAACTTATTCAGTAGTCCACTGTCTTGACATACGGCTCTGCTTTGCAGTCATATGAACTGTGCACTCAGGGATTTAGACAGCTTTAAGAAGTCACTGCTGTGAGAAAAGAATGCACGCTTAACTTTGATGCAAACTGAAATGGGCTCACTTGGTACTAATGAAGATTATTTCATCTAAACTATCCCACTTTCTTTGGAAAACAACCAGGAGTATCCAAAATAAGTTAAGAGTTTCAATTGACAAAGTAACAGAAGTCTGAAATTACTTGATTCATCTCATACATGCCTGAGCATCATCTACACCAGATTTCTTGTTAACTATGAAGTCCGTGTATCTGCAAATACGCCCCTCATAGCTCTCAAATGCAAACCAGATTGTCACTGGTCATATTAATTTGAAAATGATCACTTAAAACTCAAGATACCTTAAACTAAAAAAAAAAAAAACAAAACAAAACCAAACCACAAACAACCCAACACCCACCCACCCCACAACAGTTCTACCTGAAGTTCTATACTTGAGGTACTATATTTTTAAAAAAAAGAAAACCTGCCAAAGGTATAGGAAATTGTGCTTGTAAGTTTAGACTGATTTTATATGTTCTTTGAAGAGTTGCTTTATTAAATATTTTCCTTAAATAGCATTTAATCTTAATGAACAAATAAATGCACTGCAACCTACTTTTAATAACAAAATATCTTAGGCTAACTTTTATTCCATTTTTGTTCAAGAAATGGCCCAAACTGTTTCTTCTGTCCACATTAACTTTGGAAATCTGAAGGTCTACAAACATTTTATACCTTGATGCACGTCCTGCCGCCCTTGTTCTCTGGAAGAGTTTTTCACTGAATGAAGTTCTATAGCTTAATGGCCTTCGTCTGTTTTCATATTTCATGTACACCAAAGCCAAAGACGGAAGAAGGAAGCAGGACAGGTTGATGGGAAAGCACAGGGAAGTCATTAGCATAGCAAGCCAAAAGAAAAAAGACCGCATAATTAAAAAAAAAAACAAACAAAAAAAACCACCAACCAACCAGACACCGAACGAGCAGAAATACAATTAGTAAACAATTACTGAAACCAAGGATTCTGTTTACTCACACAGAACATATTTTCCACAAATAAACACGGAAATACCTTCACCAAACTTCTAACTATTATTTTTACTGCTGTTCATGGCAAGAAATTGTAAACTTACAAAACCACAGATTCAAAAATCAGGGCTAAATCTTATATCAGAAGAGATTTTTGCCCTCACCTACTTACAGGTATATAAAAAAAAGCTTTAAAACAGAAATGCTAAGCTAAGAAGGAAACCAGAGACTACTGAGATTGCATGTCTGAACAATTCAGGAGCAAAGCAGAACATATAGCAAGATGACTGCATTAAGATACAAAACATACGAGTAAAATTTAAGTTGCAGCACCTCAGAAGAGGAATGCAGTGGTATTTCAAATTATTAGATAATCAGGAAATGTAACTAATCAAACAAGACCTACATCCAATATGAATAACCATCATATAAAAACCTAATAAGAAAGCCACACTTATTCTATTAATAGATGAGAAAAATTTAGCATTCTTGGGGGTTTTTTTTGCAACACTTTTGGTAATAAGAATGTATTAGCATTAAGATTTCATTGTTATTTTACCCTTCACAATGTGAACAACCAATTTTAAATACACTGCATAGGGCTGTAAGTAAAACTGATTTTATCCTTCCTTCTCCCCACAAACTACTGCTATTACACTATTACATCTAACTAATATGAAACCCTGGTGAATTTTTAAAGCTCTGCAATTTACAGCATCAGGATACCAGTTTCTCTATGGGCTTCATGTATATTTCAACTATCTTAAAAGAAATTCAGCAGCACAGAATCTCATCATTGCATAGAAATTCAAAGTAAATAAAAACACTATTTAAGCTGGTATGAAGTTAAATCCATCACTGTGGGATAATGAATTACTATAATGAACTATTTTAGTTAATGAACTACTATTAACTACAACTTCTACTTTGCAGGAAAGCTTAAAGTGCCTCACTGGTTATTTGCCTGCTTACTAAAGGAACCATAATGAATACAGTCCCTACCCTAGCCTGTCCACATCCTATGCAACACCAGTATTTCCTCCTCCTCTTCACTCTACATCATTTTTAACTTGTTCTACTACGTTGTACTCATCTACCACTTGTTCTACAGCTCCTTTTCAAGAATCATTCTGTTGTGGTGCCCAACATGAAGAGGGAGTTCTGATAGATAACAAGTTAATCATGAGCCAGCAATGTGCCCCTGTGGCCAAGGCGGCCTATGATTCATTAAGAAGAGTGTGGACAGTAAGTTGAAGTTCTCCTCTCTACTCTGCCCTAGTGAGGCTACCACTGGAGTACTGTGTCCAGTTCTGGGCTCCTCAGTTCCAGAGAGCTCCTGGAGAGAGGAGCTCCTGGAGAGAGTCCAACAGAGGGCTAAAAAGATGATGAGGGGACTGGAACATCTCTCTTACAAAGAAAGGCTGAGAGACCTGTGGCTGTTTAGAAGGTGGAGAAGGTGGAGAAGAAAGGGGGTGTTCTCAGTGCTTATCAATATTTAAAGAGCAAATGTCAAAAGGATGAGGCCAGACTCTTTTCAGTGGTGCCCAGTGGCAGGACATGGGGCAACAGGCACACAGTGGAACACAGGAAGTTCCATCTGAACATATACAAAATTATCTTTACTGTGAGGGCAACAGAGCCCTGGAACAGGCTGCTAAGAGAGGTTGTGGAGTCTCCTTCGCTGAAGACAGCCAAAACTTGCCTGGACACAATTCTGTGCAACCTGCTCTAGGTGAACCTGCTTTAGCAGGGGGGTTGGACTAGATGATCTTCAGAACCCCTTTCCAATCCCCACCATCCTCTGACTCTGAAAATCAGGCAGTTCATCAGAATGAACTTCCACTGTTGAAATTATTTATTTTTATGTAATATATATATGCTCTGTCATTGTCAAACATTACTCAATAGAATGTCCGAACAAATTTCCACTTCAGTCCATAGGAAATTCATACCTCGCATCAAAGTGAGCAGAGGAAGTACCACCTAAATTACCTCATATTTGGATAATCAGTCACAAACAAACTGAATTGCAGGTTCCATAACTTATACAAACTGAGACAAAGTAATTTTAACACACTACTAATAATCTACCATACAAGCATTAACTATGCATACTTAAGTAAACTGCTTTGAAAAACAAATTTAACATGCATCAATTCAGGAAATCAAGAGACTTTCACATTCATCTCTTCCTCTCCATGGGAGGTGTATCACTAGATACACTGCTTCTCTAGACCGCAATTTTGTGAAAAGAAACACAGGTATCTTGGAAAAGTCTGTCACTAACTGTTCAACAGCTGAACAAAATTGTTCTAGATAAGGTCTCAGGAGCTTTTAGAGGTAAGGAAGATTAAAGATTAAATTCATTCTAACACCAGTTATCTTAACTAATACTGTCATACCTGTGTTTTTGTTCCTGCTGCAGTAACTGAGCTGCTATTTTTCTCAAGTCAGTCACTTCTTTGAGTTCATCATCATCTTCAGTCAGCAGCTGTTCTTTCTGAAGTCTGAAAAATCAAATAATAGTGACGTATCTGACTTCAGTAAAGCAAGTCACAGAAATGGCTACATTACTGGAAAATAAGAAGCAATTCCTATAAGCTTATTTTCTGTCCACGAAGGAGCACTCTATCTGTCCAATACGCGATTTCTTATCTCCATGTGCAAGAAACTTAAAACAAAACCACTCTCAACCATCACTGTCAGTAAAATCTTCCCGCCCCCAAAAGAAATCAAGATTTACCTTTTTTCATCTCCCCAGTCCTCACTCTGTTCTACTTTCTGGGATTTCTCAGGATGTTTTGCCCGTTCCTTACACAGAATGAAAATTAAACTTAGACTTGAATTGAAAAACAAACTAGTCCTGCTGCACAGTTTTTCTTTTGTCAAGCTACCTTGATATAAGACAGCAATGGTCCAATCTGTACATCTCCTTGCTCAGGAACAGCTCCCTCTTCTGCATTTGGATCAATGTAATCATACACCTCCTGGTCTAGTGAGGATTGATGAAGAATGGAAAAGATGATATTAAACAGTTCTCTCAAACAGATATTATTCCTGAGAGAAATAAGTACTTATGAAAAATGTCAGATCAAGATAAAACAAGGAAATCATGTCTCCTTGAATTAAAATTTTTTTTTTTTTTTTCTGGCCATGTCTTCTTATGATTATTACATTGTTTTCTGAAATGATGAAAATACAAAGCCGACACGTGATCAAATAATTTTTTGCTACTTTCTTAGATCAGATTACCTAAGCAAAAATATTTCTGTTATGTAAAAAGACAGACGCACAATAGACATTACCTTTCTGTGGATCAAGTTTACTTCCCATTACATGACTATCATTCCTTAATGTCTGTTCCCTTGTTGATTCTGATACCTGGGAGTGAAGGCTGATTGTATCATCATCAGATGGCTGCAAAGAAAGGCACATTTAATACAGAATTTACATACAAATTACATTATTATATGATTTGCTAAAAACTCAAAGTATAGTGCAAGTGACTATCATGATGGACGACTCCCAGGACACAGAAAGTAACATCAAATAAGGTGTTGGTTTTTTCTGTGGGTGGCTTTGTTTTTTTTTTTCTGAGGGGGAGGGAGAAGGGAGTTTAAGAGAATTCTAGCTTAAGAAGTGACAGACAACTGTTCAGTATGGAATATAATCATGAAATACAGTATTTTGCTGAAAGAGGTCCAGCCCTAGTCAGTGGAGTAAGAAAACTGTACTTAGGTACTTTCTTATCTAAAACCTTAAACTACTCTGACTCTTGTTAGACCACTGGGCAGGCAGAGTAGATTCTAATAATTTGTTGTTGTTGTTTGGGGTTTTTTTTTCCATTTTGAAGAAAATTCCAAAGTAACAATCCTTGTTCTGCAGTTTTCCCACTAACAATCACTCTGCATTTGTAATAATTCCAAGTTTCAAAAGTCTTTTCTTCTACACTATTTAGCCTCCAGATCAATAATTAATTACAGCTCCTTAATTAAAATTTCTACAAATACATAGGTAACTTGTAGGAATTTTTGTTCATGACTTTAACCCTAGCAGACCATCATTTATTAAAATTTATTTAAAAATTACTAACCTATACAACAGAAGTTTAGTCCAAATAAACTTTCATTTTCTTAATTACATTAACTTAATGAATAACAAAAGAAAATTTCAAATAATTTTTGTCCTTTTATATAGAAAGTTATTATGCACTTTACGCATTACAGATCCAAGGAACTCCTGTGGTTAGAATTCAGTTTTCAAAATCTATGAAGTTTGGACTGAAATTAATATTAACCAGAATAGTTAAGCAATTTGTAAACTATTTTTGTCTGATACTGGCAGTCTAACAATTTAAACTCAACTGTACAGATATTCATAGAAAGTTACATGCAATTTAAGTATATCTCAAATTATAGAAAATACAAAATAAAAGAATTCTAAAATGCAGAAATTGCACAAATTCAACAGTGAAAAATACTCACTTCTGTTGTAGACAACCGTTTATCCCCATTATCACTTCCAATGCCAGAGTCTGGTCCATGATTTTTATTGGGATAAAAGTCCTCCATACTACATTAAGAAAAACACCACACACAAAAAAAAAAAAAAAAAAACAAAAACAAACAACACAGGAATCAAAGTATTAAAGCACATTTTTATAAAAAAAGATGATTTTAAAAATACATTCTCTATACCCATCTACAGTTGCCAACAATTTTTGCACAATGCCCCATACAAAATAACAAATTCTTAACCTCCTACAAGAGCTGTCCAAGAAAAAAAAAGTATTAAAGCAAATTTAAGGTGGAAACGATCAATTACGATACTCTGTTTCTACGCAACTTTAGAATTGCTCTATTTTGTTCAGAAATACCATCTACAGGAAAGAAGGCTTCCTCTGAAAGCCACACATTTCCTTGAATTCTGTTGGCAGACACATTTTTTGACTAGGAGTAAATACACATTGCCTAAAAGGCTCTGATGTTATAATGGTTTAAATCTGCCTGAATATCTAAGAATGAGTTCCTCCAAATTTATGCCTTTCGAAGACAAAATTGGCAGCAGCAGCAGGAAAGCTCTAGTGCTTTCCACCTGTGCACTTGAGCTTGGTTTCAGTCAGAAGATTATCTGGAAGGTTTAAACAGATTCTCACTACTAAAAACATGATCAATAGTGGTAACATCCATGACCTTGTTCCTTTGCAGTAATTTTAGTTGTAGGCCTTTTAAGTCCAATGAAGGCTTCTGGGGAGCACTTGTGGACCACAGCTTTTAGGAGCATTTAGAAGCTACCTACAGACACCATGGACTAATTCCCTGTGGCACAGCTGCCCAAGACTACAGAGTGAATCTGATGGTTCAGGTGGTCCTGTGTAAGATTTATTCATAACTTCAATCTTTCCTTCAGCCTCAAATACAGAGAGGCACAAGTTGCATGCGTATTTTTAAGAAAATAGCAAAAAGTGAGTACTGTTCCATATAGTTTCCAATGGCAAGACAACTGATGACAGAAAATACAAAAGCATTCCCATTTAATTACTCAGGTGGTATTCAGTACATAAGTCTAACAAAATACTCTGCACTTCTTGACAATGACTAATCTAATTAAAAAATACATGGTATTTGAATTATGTTTAAGTCTGTTTCCTTTAATATATACTTGGGAGGCAGACATTCCATCCAAAAGACTAACTCAACATTCCGGACACTTACTGGAAATTCCCATCTACTGTTTTGAAATATCTGTTTGTGAAATAAAGAGCTGAATTTTCCAATAAATAAATTTAATATAAATCTTTGTTCTATTTCCAAACCTTTAGTGAGTACAATGAAAAATTTTTACAGCAACTCAGATGAGCTAACTAAGCTTCCAATAAAGCAATCTAAAAAAATAAACACTATGACTCCTACCTAAAGTACAATAAAAGTATTTAAATTACAGAGATTCTCTATAATACACAGATCACTTCACAGAAAATGCTGAAGTAAAACAAAACCCCCTTTACTCACCTGTCTGTGAGTGGCTGGGAGGGGATTCGTTTACCTAATGATGGAAGATCCAAAGAATCTGGTTTTTTATCTATTCTGAGGCATGCCTGAATGCTAAGGAATTTAAATATATGTACTTTACCCTTTAAACATATCTGTTTGGAAACAAACAACAACAGAATCTTAATTACATAGCATGTCTTTGAAAATGCACCCCAACAAATACTTTCTATAGCAAGTTTATACCCACAACTTCCCACTAGGAGAAACTGAGCTAAAAAAAAAAAAAAAAAAAAAAAATGAAAACCTGACTGGCAGGTTTAAAACAGCTTCCCCTTTCTTAGATCCTAACGCTAATTTCTGAACTAGAATGCTTTAATACTAACCTGTGCTGGTGGTATCTGCATTGGATTGTTATCCAAAACTATAACTTGTAAGTGACGTAACTTTCTGTAACAAATTGGAATTTCAGTAATTTTATTACAAGAAAAATCCAGCTTTACCAAGGGAAGGTCTCCTAATTCTGCATTGTGGGAAATAAAAAGAAAGAATCAGACATCTTCCCAGCACTTTACCTAATTTATCTATGTCAAAGAAATTAAGACTATTAGCTTACCATCTGGCAACATATGGAGATTGTTTCTTCTTATGTTTAATTCTCTAAGGGACTGCAATTTTCCTATCTGCTGGGGAAGAACCTGAAGTTCATTGCAGCTAATATCCTAAGAAAAATAGAATTAATAAATTAACTTAACACCTTAAATGAAATTAAACAAAGGAAAACTGGTATCAAAACTACTATAAAGCATACCGTAAAAAAAAAAAAAAAAAAACCTACCTTTATTGTTTTTTTCCACAAAGGGAGGAAGCATCATAACAGATCCTGCTGTTTCTTCAGTATTTAGTCACTCATGTTTCAGAAACTCAATTCAAAAATTTAAACCAATGAATGCTGAAAGACTGGTTTTGAGAATAAAACAACAGCCTAAGAATCAGGAGTTCCTGGTTCAGTTCCCTTATCAGTTAAACTTCTTGCACTGCAGCTGGCAAATGATTTGCATTCTGTTTCTTTTAGAAAAATTCTCCTACTCTAAAAAACCTTGAATAAATTCATTCAAGTAAAAATTTACAAAGAGCAATAGCAGACTCATCAACTTTTTGGATACAAGCACTAGAGGGTGACAAAGCTGCACCAAGTAAATGCAGACTACAACTATTTTTGTCACTAATGTAGCATTTGTGTAGTCTAGACTGATACAACAATCACACTGATAATAAGACTGTTTCTAAGCTTTTTTTATTTGACTCAATAAAACTGACTTCAACGTCTAGTTTCCTAGATATTTATCACTGTTACCTAGTCTATCTGATGAAAAATTAAAAGCATCTTTGAAAGTCAGCCAGGCCTCAGACAAACCCTGCCTCCTTCTGCAATACATGCTTTCACAGCTACAGCTTAGACACTGCTCTTCTGCTTTGGTAACCGTGATATCTGCACACAGCTGGATGTCTCAGATAGCACCGGCTTCTTATGAACAACAGTTGTGTACCCATTGCAAGTTCTCCTCTGTCCAGCTCACCAAATTTAAGATGGGATTCCCTTCTTAAAAGCATCTTTTCCAGCACATGGCTTAAAGGCTCAACATTATATTTAATATGTGTATGTGTATATATACACACATTATTTAACATTCTAAACAGGTATAACAAAGGTATTGGAATGGAACTCTAGAACATCCTTAATCTGTGTAATAAAGTACACATTCTAGGTCTGACAGTTTTTAAAAATAAGCCAAAAATACCACAACTACAATTCTGAAAATCATTCACTTCCTGTAAATAGCAGTGATCCCACCTTGAATACCACACTGAAGAGAGTATAAAGAATTTTTCACAAAAAAAAAAAAAAAACAAAAAAAAAACCATGCTAGAAAAGTCTCAAACATTCAGAATACCTCATATTACTTGTAATTAAAAAAGAATGTTGATTTATTGCTCAGAAAGTAGGTCACATTCAAAGAAATCTCCAGGGCACACACAGCCATTCTGGGAACAGGGTAAGGACTGCTTGTAATGATCATACAAATAATATGGGGAGGGAGGACACCCAAACAGAACCAATAATAACAGAAAACCCCCAAACCAGACCATGTCCAATTGCCAGGCTGGTGGATAACCGTGCATAGTTCTCCAAAACACATGATCTTAACACAGAATAATGATCAGAAAAGCCCAGAATATTAACGAGTATAGAGAAAGCAATGGATGACCAAGCACAAAATTTTAGTATATCATAGGATAAAAGCTTGTTGCACAGACATCTAAGCTGTAAATGTCACACATGATTCTCTTCACCTCAATCAAAACAAAGGAATAGCAGAAATGGAATTAAGGTGAAAACAAACAAACAAACAAACAAACAACCAGAAAAAAACAACTCCACAATTAAATACGACAACAACAGCATAACTTAAGTATAGATGAACTCTTCAGCTACAAAGAAGACTCCTCATAACATACAAGAAAAATAAATAGAATTATGATTACTATAAAGAACTTAGACAGAATAATTCACCATCTCTAACAAAATTGCTCTGCAAATTGAGTCCCTTGTTTCTATTTACAGACTCCTTAAGCATTACTTAACCCAACCCACTGATTTGTATTTAACCCCATTTTTTAAACTCTACAATGTATTACACCTGTAATTTGACCTCAAATACTAAGAAAAAGCAGTAACTGATCTTACATTTTGTAGTTCTATATTTTAAATATCTTTATATTTTTATTCTACTGCAAAGAAATAGCTTATAGTTTTTTTAAGTCTACTTAGTACAGTAGTTCACAACTGTACTTACCAACTCCATTAAATGTCTCAATTTCCCAATTTCTTCTGGAATGGAGACCAGCTTATTATTACTGACAACCAGAACTTTAAGAGGAAGATCAAACAGGTATTTTGGCAGCGTTGATAAAAGATTTCGACTTGAAAGAGAGAGAGAAAAATTAACAAACAAAGGTAGATTATAAACTTCTTTAAGCCTGACAGCGAGTATGAGATGCACATTGTTCAACTTTTCTCCAATTCCAGCAGATATTCTCCACCTATTACAATTTTACCTAAATTCAAGCTACAACCTCCATCATGAATTCATTACCACATAAAGCCTCTCTCGGATATGTAAATTTTGGGTTCCCGTCTCACTAAATGAAATAAGTACCTACTATAGCTTAATCTAACACTAAAACCTACAGAAAAATCTGTAAAACGAGACATGTTTGATGTTTGCTTTTATCCTGCTTTCTGATACCTTCAGAATGACCCCCTGATCTGACAGTCTACCAATACAAAGCTCATGTTCTCAGCAAAGTAGAACTTCATACCAGGCCATTGCTTCTCATGTCATGCGGTCTTGTCACTCTTGAGCCATTACACAAAAGTCCCTAGCATCTAATTACTTTGCTGTGCAATATTCTGGAAGATAAGTTTTAATTAAAAACTTTCTTTTGTGAATTTTCCAACCACATACACATGCCTGCTTTGTACACACGAAATATACCGTTACTGACAGTTTCACTTAAATGTATGCTGGAAAAACTACCAAACACAGGCTGTCACCACCAGAAATACACAGGATTTTTCTAAAAAGGAACTTGTACATTTAAAAAAGCCATCGGAAAACCAGCTTGTTCAGATCCAGTATGAAAGCAATTCCCTTCATAAAGTAAATGAATTCAGTAACTGCTGCTACTGCTTTAAGAAGAACTGTGTAGAGATCAGTTTTATTAAAAAAAAAAAAACAAAAAAAAACCACAACCAAACAAATCCACCACAAACACAAAAACCAACTTTTAAGTGTTGACACTTGTATTCACACTACATTAAGAAAAACTCAGAAATTTTACTACTTAATTGATACGTATGAGAGCACGTTTTCATATTTAGAAACAAAAAACAGCTTTTTACATTATTTTTCCTGATGACTACAATTTATATGGTTGTAGAACCAACAATGACAAATTTGGCCTTGCAACATTTCAGCTTCGAAGAAGTACTGCAATTCTAACATCATAAAATGAAGGCAAACTTCTATCAGTATCTTTATAGTAGTAATGTATTAATTCTGTTAATTTCAAGTCAACAACACAAATAAGTTTGTGATGTAGACAAGTCTGGGGGTTTTTTTTATGTTGTAATTCAGGCAGATACGAGGGGCTTATTTTAGCTGGAGAGCATGAGAAGCAAAAACATCATGTACAAGTAAACTTAATTTTTTTAATTAAAAGGTGGCAATGAAATAATCATTCTCCACATCACTTCAATTTCCTCATTTTGTCGGTATTTTTTGGTGCCGTGGCATTTTGTTTTTAAAAAGAGCTCCGTACTTTACTATGAATTTCACAATGCATTTCCTCAGTCATTTCAATCCAAAATTGTAATTTGACATCATGTGGCTTTCTTCTTTAACAAAATATTGAAACTAATCCAGAATTTTAGCTTGTTCTTCAGCTACTATAGTCCACATGGTTCATGCATTGCAAAAATAGTCCTCAGACATCAGCATAAAAAGGAAGACAGATCACTGTAAGGGAAACGACGACTAGAAGAGTTGACTCAAAATAACACAACACCCAGTTAGAACTGCGTGCTACTTTATTTCTGGGTAAAGAATTGTATTTAGCACCTCAGTTATCATCTACAGAGAAATGGGCTGTTGCTGCTCTGTGAAGAAAGTCAGGTCAAATTTCTTCCAGTAAACTACACAATTTTATCATTAATCCTCTTCAGAATTGCCACAGAGCAGACTACTCTTAAATTATCACTATAAGTACTGGTATTTACAGATTTTGAGGGAGTTTGATTTCTTCGTGGTGGTTTTTGTTTGGTTGGGGTTGTTCTCTTCTCTTTTCCATTAATCAATTCACAAAGTTTTTTCAAAATAATTCTGGAACGAAATCTCACACATTAAATCATTCTTGGATGAGAAGACCATTTCGGACTTAATGTAGTCATTATAAGAAGCAAGCAATACTGTGGAAAATGGGCTCAGCTCTTTTTGTGACGCTTCTTCCAGATTCCCGCTCCTTCCAGAATGCATATTCATATCCAGCTCTTTGGAGAAGAACCATCCGTACATAACATGCAAAATAAGTAGGGCCTTCTGGCCAGAGTAATCTATCCCCTCAAGAGCAGCGAATTTTTACATGTGTAGCTTCTAAATGTTGCATGTCTGAATAACATCAAAAATTGAGAAAACTCTATAAACTCTCCTTATTCTCAAATATCATATTTTACTGACTTAATTTTGTAATGCAGTCAGTTCCTTCCCACAAAGGAAGCAACAACTCCTAGCCCTAAAAAAACAAGGATAAAGCAAACAAACAACAGAATAATTTTACCTATCTGGGGAAGAAAAAAAGAGGGTAAAACAGCACTCAGTGACCTGATGAAGCAGAATGCCACCTCTACAATGAGATAGTTTATATAAAGATCAAAAATAACAAGCAGTAGAATCATAGAATAATTTAAGTTGGAAAAGACCTTTAAGATCCAACTGTACTAACCTAATGTTAAGGTAGGTAAGCATTTGCAGATTTTTAATAGATTCCGGAATGGATTTGATGCAGTTGTGGTACAAATTTAAAGTTTCCAGTGGCGCAAACAACCAGACATCAGGAGGAATTTCAGTAAATCTGTTCTTTGAAAGATCTAGAAGCAAAAGGAAAAAAAAAATTCCGTCAAAAATTTCCCTGCAGTTAAGAGGAGATAAAAGTACCCACTGTTATTCCTGTCATGCTCCTAAAAGTTAAGGTGTTGCAAGAAGTGTAAAATAATTCCGTTTCACCAGATGCTACTGCATAAATTAATACACAAAAATGACCTTAAATACTGAAAGACTATTGTTTGATATGCAATTATAACAGAAAATAGAAACGACAGGAATTCAGAAAATATATTTCCCACTACATAATTAAGAATATTTAAAAATCAACTGAACACCTGTTATGATTCCTGTAACAGTCTTTGTTCTGTGCAACTGCTGGGGTCTCTTCCCTCCAATTCTAGTCACAACAATAAGTGAAGCTACAAACCCAGTAAACATTGATTTTCCTGTTTGACAGCTGTATTAGAATCTAATCTCATCATACAAAGGATCTGCAACACTAAAGCCATATTTGCAGAAAAAAAATCCTTACATATTTATTTTGCTTAAGAACCACAATTCTCATCTAAAAAATACTCTTTATTGCAAGCATAGTAACTGAAACATTCTCCCATCACACATTTACAACTTAGCTAAAAAAAGAATAAAGTCACAAAAACCAATGCCAAATGCATTTAATTATAAAAATAAGGATGCAATTTAGCCTAGCCTAAGAGCAGAAAAAAGAGCTACCTTTGACAATGGAAACATAATACATGAGCTAGAATTATTTTGACAATGCATGCCTACGTTATGCAAGTCTGTGTGCAAGAAGCTATGAAAAACCAGTGCACTAAAAAACACGTACCATCTCTGACTACACAAAATCTTTAAAAAGACCAGAACATTCAAGTGGGATGTGACACAAAAACCTGGAAATTATCACTTAACTACCAAATCCTGTGTCATAAAACATTCATGAAACCATCTTGGAAGAATGATGTGTTTAGTTGAGAATGACTGTCTATTTTTTGAAAGTTAGCTCTAGTTCCCAACCCAAGATATTTCAAAAGGATGTGGTTTCTCAGAAATGCTGAACAAACTCTTTTAACACAGAAGCAATCCCTTGCTATTTCAGGCGTTAGTTCTCAGTTTTTAGCACCTGAATGAAATAACTGCTTCTTCTCAGCTCTTATCACAGTATTGGAACAAACATACAATTTGCTCCTCACTAGACAAAAAAAAAAAAAAAAAGAACAGAAAGTGGCTGAAAAACTGGCTCATAGTCGGGTTCAAAGAAGAGAGCTCAACAGCATGAAGTGCAACTGGCAAACCAGCTATTAGCAGCATTTGTTGGGGATGAGGCTGGAATTAGTATCATTTAGTTCCTTCATCAACAGCCTGGGGAACAGAATAGAATGTGCCTCAGGAAGCTCACGGACAACACAAAGTTGGGGGGAGTGAAGAGGCAACTCCATGCTGGAGCGATGGGATGCCAGTCAGACTGATCTCAACTGCCAGGCACCCCATCCAGTTAAATAAAAGTAAATGCAAAGACTTGCACCTGTGGCAGACCAACTCCTCACACTAGTGTGGGCTGGAGGACAAATGAGTAGAGATACCTTTGCAGAGGAGAACACATGATGTTGATACACAGCAGGCTGAATTCAAGTCAGTGTGCCTAGCAGTGTGCTGCAGATGCCCATCAAATAAATGGACTGGTACAATGAAGTATCACCTTCAAGTGGCATTATTTTTGGAAGTAGCTTCAACTCTGCTTCCTGAAGTCTAGAATATGTGAAATTTGTGAGCTACCAGGCTGTGACTCCTTCATTTCTAAGAAACATTCTCAAGCTAAGGTATCACAAAGCCTTCCTTTAGATCAGGACATCCACTGCTGACACTTGAATTCCACAAACTATTAACTGCAAGAAGCAGACAAAGACCTAGGTTGCAGGACTGACACTCCTCATGAACTGAATGAACAATAAAGTTAATAAAAACTAAATTTCCTAACTAAAATGAGAAAGCTTATTAAAAAAAATTAGCATAGCTGGAGAAAGTTTTCACAATAGGTAAGGTTTGTTTTCCGTTTTCCACCACATCAATTTTTCAAAACATTATATAAAAAATGGCTGCTTTCAGATATAAACATTTTTTGCAAATTCCTTTTTAGGTTAAACAAAAGCTCTCCTGTTCTGATAATCAGCAGAGTGGGATAACTGCAGAAAAGATGCACACGGTTTTATTGCTGGCACACTTCTACAACATCCACCACATTGATCAACAGTCTTTAATAGAAGGCCATTTTGAAGAAATCAGCTCCAAGGCTCTGCCCAGTTATGTTTTATCAGCAGCTGGAAAGATAACTGAAGGCTAGCACAAAGATCTAGTCAACAAAATACAAATGACAGGATCTCATCCTACTGCCACTGATCCAAATATCAGTACTGCAGCTTATATCTGAACTGGAATATTTGAGAGCACCATGAAAATGCTGCCAGCCTATCTACCTCCAGCCATACCTCACCACGCGTCTTGGAAAGACATGGGTTAAAAACCAGCTTTGTCATTTCTTCTGCAGAAATAAAATGCAGAGGTGGGCCAGACAACAATTACAGTGTGCACTAACGCTCAGCTCTGGACTCAATTCTGTAGTACTCGACAGGCAATATAAAACCGTTAGCTGTGGTTTCTAGTCTGTCCTGACAAAAAACACATTAACACAGTTTGGTTCATGTTCCTTAGTCTGTCATACAAAAGCCATACAATTTCACATTAGAAGAAAATACACAAATATTGTGAAATTGATATATATTACTGTTGAAAACACTTCCCTGAAAACACCTTAAAGACACTGTGGGGTAAGGATTCCACTTTTTCATTATGAAAATCAGAAGCCCTATTAAAATAGGAAATAATACAAATTATCTGTCAATAGTAAAATTTAAAAGGTACATAAATAGCTGGAAGATAGTATCACTTCTCTTCCAATCAATTTTTTTATTTTCTAATACTGCTTTGCAATGAGGGAAGACCCAGGTGTTCAGATCTTTCTAAAGATAAGTATTCAAGTGTATATAGTTTTCCACAATATTCGTGTATCAAATGTTCTTACAGCTTTCTAAAAACAACTAATGCTATTTATCCAAACTGAAAAATTATTTCTACTTCAGGAATGTTTTCACAATGAGCAAAAAAAAAAAATTGTGACATGAGTTTACCTATTAGGCTAAAAAAAAAAAAGTAGATACGAAGATTATGCAATTCAGGTACCTTTGAAGATTAATAATCCAATGCATAATTGAGAAAATATTTTAAGAAAAAAGGAGGAAACTTCTGGAATACAGCATTCCTCTATAATCAAGATAGACTTCATCTCAGTCAAAACAGAGGCACATTGCTGGCACTTAAAATAAGAGTGGTTTTGTAAGGGTTAATTGACTGAAGAAGCAAGGTAAGCTGCTAAATGCAGAACCACAAATGATTTAAGATGACAACTCCTCTAAAAGTGAGATTATTGGAATTCTTTGCTTAACCAGTTTAGACTGGAAAACTCTAAACTGGGGGTGTTATGTGAAGACTAAACAGTAGACACTATCCATGACTGCTCATGAATCACAGGGTATTTCAATTCACTATCTCTGCAGAATCAATAAAAGTGAGTACATCATTTAAATGGGAAACTAAAAATATGAAAAAGTTGGTTGCAGCTTAGTTTTTTCAACAGAAAGAATGAAGTCTTTACTGACTTTAAGATGATGATTAAAAACATGTTGAAAGTTCAAAAGAAAAGAATTTAAGGAAATCAGTCAGAAATTGGAGAAGTTATTGTAAGACTGTATCTTGTATAAGTTTAAGGCATGATGAAAAGGATAAACAAGAAGCTCAAGCTGTCAGGGTACAGCAGAGTGCAGCAAGGCAGTGAGACAGTATTAACATCATGTTTGCCTTGTTTTTAACTTTTCTCTCAGGATTCATTACTGTTCACTATCAGAAGCATACTGCTAGAACAGACTGGCCTTTTACTTTACCCTAAACAATCATTTTTATAGTCACACTTTGAGTGCACTACATGTTGAGTTTAAAATACAAGCCTTAGTTGGGAAATCTACACTTGAACCTCATCTTGTGGTTCTCATAAAAATATACTGATCTATTATATTGGTGTTGCGTTTCTTTGCTCAAACTGTTCCAAAATTTTATTTAGAAACTGGATTGAAAACAACAACCTACCCCTCCTCAAAACCCAGACCTGCTCTTCTAACTTGTAATATGTACAAATTTTCCTAGCTAGTTTTTCTATTAATGCTTTAGCCAAGTCTAAGCCAAAAAACATCTAAGCGCAACAGTAATTATATAACCAGACCTACATAAGTCAATGAATGTATAAAATTAAAAAGTATTTTCAGACCTGATTATAAAGACCTACTTTTAGCCAATCTAAACAGAAATCTGAGATCATGGAACATGGGTGAAATTTATTGGTCTGTCAGATGCAAGATGATTCTGGAGAATAAGAAAGGAAATCTCAAACACTGCAGAAATGCCTACATATGGTAATTCCAGGAGGTACAAGTTTTTCATGTCCACAAAGCACTCAGTCAGCTTATAATTCAAATCCTGTGATGGCTAAAATTTATACTGAACAATAACAGCATTTTAAAAACTCCTTAGTTTAATTATATTTCACACAGTGACTATAAATTCACTTGACAGGCCAATGGTACTGAAGAAATATAGACAGGCAAATGTTCTTACATAGTGCAATGCTCCAAAACCACTTTATGACCACATGTCCTACCAACTATTTATCTCTTACACAAATGCCCTTTTGCTCTTTTTCTTTAATTTCAAACTCTCCCTCCTTGAGGAAGGGGTGCCAAGCATTTAAGATGAACCATAAAGCAAAGATACATGCATGAAATAGTGAAATTTGTCTCAAAAAAAATATAAAAAATAAATATCCTAAATGAGACTGTAAAAGTCCAATACCTTGAGTTCCTATGAGCATGGGTTGCCCACCTTCTACCAGGAATGGAGATACCAGCACCACAGCATAGAAAGAAACTACACCCATCATGAATTCCTGGCATGCTGGGGTCACTTCCAGAGCCCTGCAACATTATTAAATAGCTTTAACACATGTAGTGGAGGGAATCTCTCTCACGCTGCAGGTGAACGACAACCTGGGCTGCAGAATTAGTCCCGGAAACTCAAAGCCAAGTAGAAAAAGACCCTCCAAATCTCTCAGTTCATGACTGTGGCTCAAGAAGTAATTCTTCAGCCATTTCTTAAGTTCATTAGCTCCTATCCTACTTTGTATTACACTAGCAGTTTGCTTGGCCACACTATGAAAAAGTGCTAGTTTAGTCCTCAGGAGAACGTTCCAAGCCTGTACATCTCCCATTCAGTTATGCTTGCTAATGCTACAAAAAAAAAACCAACCTATTTTTCCATTACTGCTAGTCTTGCCATCTTCTTTACTTAAATAATTAAAGATGCTTGGAAAATTTATTAAAAAAAACATTGATGAGCTTACAGTAAACCTGATTTATCCACATCTAAGAACATCATCTTAGATTTTACACTATCAGTATCAAGCCTCCAAAGAGCCTGAAGAGCTGCTAACAACTTACAAGTGTTTGAACAAAGCCATTTAGAAAATAAACCCACTTGTATTTTATTTTCCTCCTTTATTCTTTGAGCAATCCTGCTTTGAGAATTAAAAAGGTAACAAACATGAAAATTGTATATATTTGTTTATTAGAAAACTGAAGCTGCCAGTTTCTGTTGTGATATTTCAGAAGTATCTATATAATCTAATAATACAATTGGTCTTTAGTGTAATCATTAAGAAGATTCTTGCTTTAATCTTCAAAAGAGTCACGTAAATACTATATAATTCTACAATCATTTTAAGACTGGGGAATATGGATTCATAAGTCAGTAGGTATTCAAAGGTACTATTTGAATTTACTAATCTTAAACTAAATCTATAAGCCAAATATTAAAGTGACAAATTATGTAAAAAAAGTAAAAATTAAGGAAGTAGTACCTTTCAAAATCTACTAAAACCTGAGGCTCCTTGCCTAGTTTGTTGAGAAACTAAGAAAGGAAATAAGAAATCTAGCTTTTGTTACTAACTTCAGAAATAGCACTTAGGAGGAACACAGCAATTTCATTATGTAACAATGCTTTCTTCAGCCAGAAACATGACATTAACTGATGCTTCTAGGAAAATCCAGAAAACACATTTCACAGAGAAACTAAAATATCATTAGAGATGCTCAAAACTCAACTGGACAAGGTCTTGAGCAGATGACTGTCCTAGATGACCTACAAAGATCTTTTAACCTACGTAATTACAGGATATAAAATTGTAGTTTGTCTGTATTACAGGAGTATGATCATATTTCAAGTATCAGTTCCTTATGATGGTAAAGAGGAAAACTAAAAATGCGTCAAAAAAGCCAAGTGTGCCCACATACCTTCAAAGACAGACAGAAAGACAGAAACCCAACAATGTGCATCCTGTGTGCAATTTGCAAAAAGTGAACATGCTACAGCGTGTTTTAAGAACCTTGTTCCTATGCTGCTATCTAGTACAGGGTAAAAACAAAACAGAACAAAAAAAAAATACTGCCACAAACAAACCAACCAACCAACCACAAGACAAAGCCAGAAACTGAAAGCTAGATTCAGTGGGAAGAAAAACTATTCAAGATGGTTTTTTTCCCTTCAGATTCTGACCAAAAGTCTTGTACATAAGCTACCTAGCATTTTCCAGTACAATTGAAATAGCATCAAGTTCCTGAAACTACTGATTCATCCCAATTTTCAGGAACCTCAGGAGAAAGGAGCTCAAACTTGCCAAGCTTACATCAAAAGAGACATCCTCTTGCATCTCTAGCATTCCCCTCAAACTCTATGCATCCTCCTTGCGCATTCAGAGCTGAAATCTTAAGGTTAATACATGAATAGTGTTGTTAAACATAGAAATGCTTCAAAATTTTCCTTTGAATAAGGAAAAAAACCTAGTTTATTAAATAACTAATATCAGAATTTTTAATATTTCCTTAGGTTGAAAAATTAAGCATTAAATAATTGAAATATGTCCATATATAGAATGATTACATATACTTCTATAAACAGCAACAACTTCAGTCACAGAACAGGCAAAATAAGATCTAGAATTTATTGGTTAACAATGTTAAAGAATTACAGCAAAATAATTTTTGCATCTTAGTATGTATTTCACATACAAATGTATGTTTGCCCTCCAACATTAAGATCTATGGTTAGGGACTACACAGAACAAACTGAGCACCCATCAGCCTTTCCATACAACAAGGAAACACTGATACACCTGCCAAATACCTGTAGATTTCAGGAAACTAAGAACTTGTCACAAGGGAAAGTTAAATACCTTTTAAATCTATTATTAAATAATAATATATTATTTAATATTTAAATTCATTTTTATCTATTGCATCCACTCTTTAGAACAGAAACAGATTGACATCATCTAATCCTTGTGGCTGGTATGTATTTTAAATGACAAAACAAAATGACTTAGAACAGACAAAAATCTCAGAACTGGTTCATAAACCCCGTAAACATTTACTACAGAATCACAAAGAGCAGGATTCACACTCTGCAGAACAGTCTTCCCACAAACAGGAAGCAACTTTAACAGAAGACAGGGACACAACTTGTTAGGAAGTCACGCCCGAGTATTTAACACTCCTGTTGTTTAACTTTCAAAAAACAGTAGGGACTTAGAGAAAATAAGCTTTCCTATTTAAGTATTTAACACCATCTAAAGGGGCACCTTCCAAATTTATTTTTTTTTTTAATGACACTGTCATAGTTGACATTTAATTCCCCATCTCCTGGAATATTAATTCTATAATCTATATCTAGAAAAGCTCCCTCAAACCAATGAAGCTTCTAGAAAAGTGTAACAAGCCTTTTTCATCTGAGCATGGAGCCAACATACAGAAAGAAAAATCACTTAAAAGTTTCTACAGAAGCAAAATATAATTTTAAGAAATGCTCAGAAGGACTTTCTTTAGAAACTGCATGGTTATAATTTTCACATTTAAATAAACTTAAGTGATGTTACCAGAACTTCACTTCGCAATTAACATTGCAGCAGCTTGTAACTAAGAAGCAAAATTTGAAGGAAGTCGTACACACACTTTGCATTTTCAGCACTATTACATCTGCAGCTAGTCTAATTCCACATTTCCAGGGTTGCTTCCCATTTCCCTTAGACACAATTTTGTGAGGATTTCACTCTCACAGTACATTAAAGCTAGAGAAGTATGTATTTAATTAGTACCTCATGCGTGAAAATGCTGACACAACTGATATCCAGTCACATTACTCAATTCTTGATTTTTTTGTTTTTAAATGGCAACACAAGTCAAAGGCACAAAACAGTGCTTGGAATGGAGAACAGAAAGTTATTTCATCACCCAGCTGTATCTTGATACTGCATGCAGCACCTGGCTTATCTCAAAAAAGATACACCACAATGGATACAAAGAGTACATGTACATAGATGAGAATTTTTCAGTATAAGAGATTATACAGAATAAGTTTCATCAGCTTGGAATAAAAAAACGGAGGACACAATCTGTTCTCATTATTTTGAGTTAAAATATGGGGCTACAAAGGAAGTTGCCAAGTAACAGGTTAAGAAGATTATGGATTAGCTCTCAACAAAGAATCCTGGGCTAAATACACTTTTTGTATCAATAAAGCTATGTCCAAGTTATATATTAGAAAAATGTTTCTAATATATAGTACATAATTTTCTACATTTTTTATAATTACATGATCTAATTACATTCTAATCAATGATCAGAGAAACAGCACACAAATAAGGACAAGTATCTCTTCCCAAGTACAAGTACCTACTATGCCAGGGATCATATTAGGAGATCGCAGCAAAAGAAAAAAAGAACCCTCGGTAAGTGGTGTGACAGTAATTTCGTAGTAAGGGAAATAAGAGTAAGAAGTTTCTGAAACTGAAAGGAGAAAGAGTACTGATACTGTTGTAGCTACTATGAAGTCAGAAAATTGCCACACTTGAAGGAGAAACTCAGGTCTTCTGAACAAGTTCAGAAAAAAGTATAAAGTTGGAGTTACCTTGCCACCACTGGGACCACTGTTTTAACAGCCAGAGACGAAAAATCCTTCCAGGAAAATTAATTGCCTTGGCTAGCTTAAAAGCTTCCAGTACATGTTCAATCATTTATTCAGTCTTCTAACACATGTCACATCTCCTTATATGCTACTAAAAGGAAACACAGGGTACTGGACTGTCCTACTATGATTGACTTCTCAGTTTCATACTCCTCTCCTTGTGTTTCTTCTTCAAGCTGTTTAAAAGAAAAAGACTCCCATGACTGTAGGTGGCTACAGGCAGCATTTATTCGAGCTTTTTTTTTTTTTTTAACTGTGTGCTTGACAGAGCATAGAATACCTTCTATTTTTGTGAAGGATATCACAAAGTGGCTTTTGGGTTCTAAATCCAACAATCCAAGAACTAGGAAATACCTGCTTTAGGGTTACCTATGACACTAATTTTAAATACTCTGTGTGGTTAAACTTACAATGAAGAAACTGTACACAAGCATGTAATGAAAGTTTCTCAATCAATCACAGATGGAGGGTTGCATATGCAACCCAAACCTTTTTTTTATAGATTCTGAGTTCTTGGTTTTTCAAGCTAAACAGCACTAAAGAAAAAAATCCCTTTTTTAAAAAATACAGTCTTTATTTCTTATTCT